TCGCGAAATGCCGTGACGGAAAGATACGAGTACTAAAAATTTCCATAGAGAATGGTAAGTTCTGGATTGTAGCAAAAATTTTTATTATCGAATCTTATAAGAACAATGTGTTTATTTTGCTGTAAGATCTGGGGATCAATTGTGTATCTTGAAGCGAAGTGAAAGTTATAAAGTAAGCAAATATTGACTTTGTAAATTTCATCTCGTTTCAGAGATAAGATACATAATCAATCCTCCACAGAACAAAACAGAGACGCTGCTTTAGTAATTATTCTTTCCGTTTTCCAGAGGAACTGACTCCAGCATCTAGTCTGAAGCCAATTAACAAATGGCAAGATGATTACGATAAGATGATCAAGCCACTAATCGTGGAAAATCAACCAGCTTATATCCTTTATAGATTGGACACAAAATCGCCAGATTCTGGCTATGATTGGTTATTTATATCTTGGTCTCCCGATACTGCACCAGTACGACAGAAAATGCTTTATGCTTCTACCAAGGCTACGCTCAAGCAGGAATTCGGTACAGCCTCAATAAAAGAAGAATTACATGGCACTGTTCCGGAAGATATTACATTAGACGGTTATCATAAACATAAAAGAAACGATACAGCGCCTGTACCACTGACAACGGCAGAGGAAGAATTAGCTGAATTGAAGAAGACTACCGCGACTACGGACTACAGTGTCGAAACGAGACATCAGACTTTGAGTGGCGTGGCCTTTCCAGTAACAGATGAAGCCAAGCAAGCCATCACAGAGTTGGGTAAAGGAATTCACGAATACATTCAATTAAAAATTGAATTGGAAGAAGAAAAGATACATTTAGTCACAGCGTGCGATGTTTCACTGGATAAATTACCTACTAAAGTCCCATCTGATGCTGCTAGATATCATCTTTATAATTTCAAGCATACTCACGAAGGAGACTATACAGAAAGCATAGGTAAGCGATAAATAATATTTCATGTACCTGTATAGTATCAGAGAATTTTTTCTTTCTCTTTTCAGTTTTCATATATAGCATGCCAGGATATAATTGCAGTATTAAAGAAAGGATGTTATATTCCTCATGTAAAGCCCCTCTGTTGGACCTAATCCAGTCTCTAGGAGTAACCATAATAAAAAAGGTTAGTACTTTTAATATTTTAATAATTCACTATAATTACTTCAATTTGGCTCTGATCCACTTTACGTAATTATTTTTCTTTATCAGTCTTGTTTTAAGTTTAAAGATCGTATATTTCAATCCAATAGGCATACTCTTTAAATAATAAAAGTACAACATTTGATTAATATCATGTATTTTATGACTATAACTATTTATTTTGAATACAAATCTAGCATTCATCTGTAATTTCTTTTTAAAATCTAGTATGCCTCAATGGAAATCTTTTTCTCTTTTGTATCATCCTATACTGTAATAATAATTGTAATTGCAATATTGTATCATATATAAGATTGTGTGCATTGCATTTCTAAGTGTAACACTATTATACTTAGAAAAGCAATTGTTATTTATTTATGATCTAAAAAATATATTCTTGACATACGTGTGTACATGTATATATATAACTGCCATCTCTGTATTATATAACTGCAATCCTAGTTGGAAGTTAATAGTGGAGAGGAATTGGCAGATAAGTTGGAAGATCCTCCAAGCATAAAAGACTCAGCTGCGATAACTCCTGCAACTCCATCGACACCTTGTGCTCCTACTCAATCCATACCAGAGAAAAAATCAAAACAGAAACGGTCTTGTGTCTTAAGCTAAAACTGGCCTAAAGCATTTATCTCTGCCATTATTATTGCTTTTTGCTAATTGAAGTGTTTATGATGTTTTGTGCATCAAATATCTTCCTTCATGAATTCCAGAATTGTGATAATATGATATTGACATAGAATATGTCGTTTAAAATAAAATAATGGGTTTCCAATGTTTCATGTTAGAGCAAATTACAATTATCTAATTATATATATATATATATATATAAATGTATGTTATGACAGTTAATTTACAAGTAGCATAAAATGTAATGCATCATGCAAAGGAAATCTGTGTTATTTATCAGCATTTAGAATTAATTTATCAAAGTGATACGTAAATCTAAGTAGCAAAACAGAGTAGACCAGATGGTGTATTTTTCTAAATTTTAAAAGCAAAATTATCATGTGGAAGGTTCTTTGCAAAACGTCATTATATCTATTGATAATAAGTGTGACATGCCTATGATACAGATAACCCCATATGGTTCATGTTGTTTCACATATACTATATTCATTAATTCATATTACGTATGAAATTATTCATTTATGTGAAGAATAGTGTCGAGAATTAGGTTGGATTAGATTATTTTGTTTGACATTGAAAGCTAAGCCTCACTTTTTAATTTTTATATTTAGTATGAGTATTGTGTCATGTGATAGAGCAATTGTGTGAAATGTGTATGTAATTTAGTTTTATACAGAACTTAACATATTCTATTCATAGAGTTCCTCTTCATTCTAATAACTTTATATATACATATATATATTTTACATGCAGCATTTCTATACCTAAAATATATATTTTCTTTAAAAAATATGTTTAAAAAATATATATATTGTACCAAGTACTGTGAATTAGTTCCTAGTCTTACAAAAGTGATATGTGTCTTAAGTATTTTTAGAGTAAAATTTGAAGGCTTAGCTTTTAAACTCAATCAAATGTTCATATGAGATTCGATAAACATAATATTTTTAATATTGATCTGTGGTAACTATATACACCATATGTGATGTGAGTAGAGAGTTAGGAAAAATTCCATTTGTGCTCTAAATAGGTAGAAGGAAAGAGAAAGAGCTAAAGCCATTCGCCTAACTTCTCTATATATTTTCAATATGATAATAACGTAGTAGACGTGTGATAAATATGCAAACGCCACATTAATGTGGATATATTTTTTTCGCACATTATTATTTCAGCTACAAGATAGTGATAATACTAGTTATTTTACATATAAAATTTTATATCATGTTCTACACTATTGTAAATGCTAAAAATATTAGATCTTACAAATATGTGTATGATGTAAGACTGATCTTGGTGAGTCCTATCAGCTGTTAAATATTACACATTTCCAACTATTAAACAAGATTAACGTAATTATTTGTTATGCTTATATTATTACTAAAAAGCTATGTTAATCAAGATATATTGAGAGCATTATTTAATATATTTATTACAATAATTTATTATTTAAATAATAAAATGTTTCCAGAGAGAAAATATTTTCAAATATTTAAATGGACATGCAATTTACAGCAGATAGGACTACAATTTGATAGTCCGCAACAAAATATATAAGAGGCATTCTATTTTTTGTGATCTGTATTTTCTTAACACTTGTAGCTTTTTATAAACTTTTTGAATGTTTTAGTCTAAAATACGCGTGCGGAAAAATGATTAATAAAACAGCTGGGTCTACTTGTGCTGTGAAAATTATTTGAGCCAAATTCTTGGATTTTTTCCTTCCATGCACAGTTAATATTTTTTATATTAGTACGGTTTTTATATGATTTATAGATTTTTTATAATCCTAATTATTATATCCCTTATTTTTAATGAATTATTTAACTTTCTAGTTCAGTTGAGTGAGTGAGTGAGAGAGAGAGAGAGAGAGAGAGAGAGAGAGAGAGAGATGTCTAAAGCAGAAGAGGAAAGAGTACAGTTTTTGGCTCATATTTGCATAAATATATTTAAATGAATTCTTGTACTGAAGACTAATTAAACATACGTATTCTATTTTTTTAAATCATGACCCACAATATTGCCTAATAATATACTTTAGTTAAGTGTCATATCAGGCCTATTCTGTAACTGTCCGATTTTATCTTAGCTCTGGACTTTTCAGTTATATCTATATAACTTATTAAAATCAAGGAAATTGTATATATATATCTTGCCAATATTGAATATACTGGAAATAATAAAGCATTATGCAACTTATTGGTGTTTCTTTTTATATTATATTCAGTATTATATACATTTATACTAGGTACATACATATATAATTAGTAAGGACCACTTAGGTATGTATATTGCTATTGCTAAGGATGACTTGGTGATACACCTCCATAAAATGGGTATGTAGTTATTTTTAAGATTCAAAGGCATGTTTTGTTACAACTTGCAGAATAGGCCTGCAATATGATCTACAGCCACATGTTTATATAGCTCATCTTTTTCCTGATTTTCTCCATTTTTATAGTAATAAATCTTTTATATATAACTACATTCCTACTCTTCTGTTGATATATACATATTATTAATATTTCCTAAATTTTTATTCTATTAGATATACATTACATAGATCATATTATAATTTTTCTTTACAATTTAATTGCACAGCTTGAAATAGCTACTGGACAGGAACTTACCGAAGAATTTTTTCAAGAGGAATTACATCCAAAAATCAGTTTACATCAGCCAAAATTCGCTAAACCCAAGGGTCCACCGAACAGAGGTGCTAAGCGTATAACCAAGGTTCAAGAATTAGCATCCTCTGGACAAGATAATTAAAAGACTTTATGAGATTATTAATGTTAAAAGCAGGATAGTGACTTTTAATATATTTTTGTGCACGCATCGTCATAAAATATGCATGATTCTTATTTCTCATTTACTTTACTTAAAAGAAAAGATATTAAAGATAAATTTATTTTGGCCTATTCTGTAAATATATATTTAAAGTACATAATTATTTATTTTAGTGTTTGATCTCTAAACCAATTATATATATGTATATATAATATATATACACATACATATACGTATATAAAGGATTTGTCAAACTTCACACTTATGTGATAAATTATGTGTAAAATTCATATGTACATTTGTTAGAAAATATTTTTTGACGGTTTCGCCGTCTTACAAAACTTTAAGGCAATGACAAATGGATAATAAAAATTTCAATCTCACAGCTGTTTTTCTATGTACAAGATTTATTTACATAATTATGGGTTTATTTTGTTTTGATTTTCATTATCATTTTTGTTCATATCCTTCAGTTTTCTATTTTCTTCGTATAATTTTTGTATTTCTGATAATTCACTATTCATACTTTTTTTTATTATTTCGCGCGTCCTACAATTGTTAAAAATATACAATATTAATGTATTAAAATAATTAGTATAATTTTATAACTTATACATTCAACGATATAACACAGTTATATTGAATGTACATGGTAAGATCTCTCTTGTAAGAAATATCAAATTTAATATTTAAATTATAAAATGGATAATATTTTACTTACATATTTCTCGAATTTATCCAATTTTTTTGTGCTTCTAATGCTTCATCTATAGTTATTCCTGATACCTTAAGAATAAGAAGTGATATACCACCACATATTCCACCTAATATACTACCAAGTCCAGTGCCAACAAGTGCTCCTCGAAGCCCCAGGTTCATTTTAAATAATAATCCTGTTACGGAACCACCCAACATATAATTCTCTAATGCTATCTTTCCACGATAAGCTGATGTACATGTTGTTATGGAACTATAAAAGAAAATATCATTTTAATTTTCCATAAATTTGAGGTTATAAAAAGTATACATACCTAAACAAAAAACAAAATGTCCCAAGTTTCATTCCATATCGTCCACCCTTCTTCAAAAAATTTACAACAACCAACTGTTGAAGATTTCGTTTTGCATCAAAATGACTTGTGAATCGTGATGCTTCGTTTTGCATGATGAAATTATTTACTGTAGCCTTAGTTGAGCTTGTACCAGCCATAACTAAGCCAATTGCAAAACCTGACAGTGTTATATTTATGATAGATTGTATTTCTTTTGTAAATCCATTTTCGCTGAAAAATAAAATTATAATTATAAACCATTGTAAATAAAAATTTTGTATGCAATTGAAGAAAAAAGATTTTATATTTAAGACATACATACTCCAAAGTAAACATTTTTTTTACTCTGTCCCAAGCTAATTCATCATCTAATGGTTTTATTATTGTATTCACAGGTTTATCATACTTATCATTGATATTGTGAAATGGAAATACGGACATTAACAGTGGACTTCTGATTAATGAGCGTATCATCTTAAGTTTTGAATAATTTATTACTAGTTATATGTATGTATATATATATATAGATATATGTGTGAATATTAATAAATCTGAAATCATTTCGAACAAAGTTGAAAGCTTGAGCATTTATATATAAATATTTCAAATTAAGCGGTATAATAATAACAAACACGATGGAACAAAAATTAAATATAATAGGACAAAATTCAAGAAATATTATTTTCGCATATAACCTTCTGTTTAACTGCAGTCAGAAAATTATAATTATATATAATGAAACTGTCACAAAAAGATTAAAAAATATGTATACATAAATGTTAATAAATATTTCATAGAAAATTAGATAAATATCACAATCTCAAAAATTTCGTATTTTAATAAGTTTTACACTATTTTACATTATTACACACTGACACGCAGTGTTGTTAAGACGAACTGCTTTTTGGTGCATGCGCATTCGATATTCGGTGGCATCATTAGATCAATTTATCCTGGCTGTGTTCCAAAATTCACTGCCAGTGCCAAAAATCTACAGTTTACGTTAGATGTGCTCAGGTTTGTTCGGCTATGTTCCAAAATTGAATGCCTGTACTGAAAATCTATAGTGCACGTAACGTAAACTGTTTTATTTAAAGTGTTGACAGTAAATTTGGAACACAGTCTTCGTGTCGCATGCTCCAACATGTTCCAATATGCTCCTAACATAGTTCTTACTCACTCCAACGTGCTTGATAGAGTGAATAGGAGCAATGGTAGGAGCATGTTGGAGCATATTGGAACTTGCGATGCGAACAAACCTCTCAGGCCGGAATCAGACTACGCATTGAAGATTGAGATCGAAGATTGAAGATTGAAATTTAACCAATGAGGGCAAAGGAATTTTAATTCCTATTGTTTTGATTGGTCAAATTTCAATCTTTCAATCTTCAATCTCAATCTTTAATGCTTAGTCTGATTCCGATCTCATACATGTAATGCGGGGTCTACAATAGAAGTCGTAGCGGTCGTAGGGTCTTAAGTCATAGAAAATTGACCAATCACAGTTGATTATTCTTCTCATATTCGACTGTGATTGGTCAATTTTCTACGACTTAAGACCCTACGACTGCTA